GCAGGATTGTCATTTTTACTACATTGATCCTACCTATCCAAGAGCATGGGAGATCTTTCCATTTTCTGAGGGCTTCTTTAATTTCTTTCTTTAAAGATTCAAAGTTCTTGTGATACAGGTCTTTCACTTGTTTGGTTAACGTTACCCCAAGGTATTTTATGTTGTTTGTGGCAATTGTAAAGGGTGATATTTCTCTGATTTCTTTCTCAGCCATTTTATCATCTGTATATAGTAGCGCTACTGATTTTCTTGAGTTGATCTTGTAGCCTGCCACTTTGCTGAAGGTATTAATCAGCTGTAAGATATCCCTGGTAGAGTTCTTTGGGTCATTGATGTAAACTATGATATCATCTGCAAACAGTAAAAGTTTGGCCTCTTCCTTCCCAATTTGTTTCCCCTTGATCCCCTTTTGTTGTCATATGTCAATAGCTAGAACTTCAAGTACAATGTTGAAAAGGTATGGAGAGAGTGGACAGCCTTGTCTTGTTCCTGATTTTAGAGGAATTACGTTGAGTTTCTGTCCATTTAGTTTGATGTTGCCTGTTGGTTTACTGTATATAGCTTTTATTTTGTTTACGTATGTTCCTGTTATCCCAGATCTCTCCAAGACCTTTATCAAGAAGGTGTGTTGGATTTTGTCAGCATCTAGTGAGATGATCATGTGATTTTTGTTTTTCAGCTTGTTTATATAGTGGATTAGGTTAGTAGTTGCAGACTTACTAGATGAAATATGTCCCTAGAGCTTTGAAGTTTCAAAAGACTCAGAGGCCATTTGGAATTTGCTTTCTATGCTCTATATTGTTCAAACTGCTCCTGCCACCATTCTTGATTCTTGTTGCCATGCTTCCCCACCATGAAACTGATGGGCTTTTATCCCTCTGAATACATAAACACAAAATACTCCCTTCCTTCTGTAAGTTGCCTTGATCATAGTGTTTTATCACACACGTAGAAAGATAATAAATACAGACAAAAGCTTCAAACTCCCACAAGTGTGTGCTCAAAATGTTTTGAAAGTTCTCAGTGTGATAAGCTGCTGTTTACAAAGAGGCATCAAACCTAATGTACTAAATAGCTATTTGAAAAGAGAACTATACTGGATGGCCACATACCCGAGGATATATGGGCAACACTAATTGACCTCAATATGCTAAACAATAGAGACCCAAAGTTGGCTGGGAATGGAATTGGGAGTCAATGTTTGAGGATTGGGAAAAGGAAATGGTGGTCAAAATGTAATATGTATGAAATCTATGAAATTCTCAAATAATTAATAAAATTTTTATCATGTCTTTTAAAGTATCTTTATATTTTTATTTTTGAGAATATAATTATAATTTTTCTTCTTTTCCTTTCCTCCCTAAAGCCCTCCCATGTATCTCTCTTTGCTCTTTCAAATTCATGGTCTCTTTTTTATTAATTGCTATTGTATGCATACATGTATATGTATACACATACATATTTCTAAATCTAACCTGTTCTGCCCATATACTATTACTTGCATATATGTTTTCAGGAAGGGTCATTTGGCACTAAATATCCACTTAGAGGAAATGAAACATTAATATGTATGAGTTATATGTGAATCTGTTACAATATTCAACTTTTCAAAATTATTGACTAATAATCACTAGAAATTTCAAAACAGGGAAATTTATTAAACTAAAAGTCAGCAAACTCTATCAAATAAACCTTAAACCTTAAAGCTTTTACTTTACAAGGTATAATGTCCATCACTCAAAGTAGTAGTATTCAGTAATTCTGAAGCCAAAAAGGATCCTAAATGTTTGGTTTATTTTTACCTGTCAGTTGGAGAGTTTAGCATCCTATAATGATATGCACTGACACAGTTTTGCGTGGTCTCTAAGACCCCCAGACAATGTTGTATCTATCAATTACTAGAAGGTCAGACAAACTGAGACTCTGAAACCCTCAGAAAGCATTAAGTCTTTTTGGTGGCTGCCGGGTTTAAAAGCAAAGGGTACATAGCACAGCTTGGGGACAACTGGAAAGGAGCCATGTGGGAGGGAGCTATGTGCTTCAGAGTTGAGCTGAGCCGAATGTTCTGGTCAGAGAAAGGTCAGTCTCAACAAGAGCAGGGATAGCACACGATGCCAAGCTACAGAACCACTCCAACTGGTGGATTCCATTTGCTCTTAATTATGAGCCAACCAAAGGGTCTTTTGTTTCAGATAAATATGAATGGCAAACAAGCTAAGCTCCAACAGGTGCAAAAGCTTATTTTGCCCTGTGTTAAATGTACCTTTACCAAGTTATGGCTTGCCAGTCTAGGTTGGTGGCAAGGAGATAGCTTTTTATTTTCCATGTGGGTGATAGGCTATTAGTAGAGATATATCAACAAAGTTAGGTATTATTGTTACTGTAGCATTGTATTTTTATTTCAAAGTGATTATTAAAGTTGCATTGCTGGGTCTAAAGTCATTTCAATACTTGGCATTTGAGCACACTCTTGCCAAAGTTTGAAGTTTCAGTCCAAGCAGCTTTGGTGGCTTTCTGCCATTTTGAACTACTCCCTCGGGTCCCCCGGGTCCAGCTGTTTCAGTAAGCTGTATTGTGGAGTTAATTCTGAAGGGGGATAATGAAATTCCAGTATGTACCACTGTGTCAGTAAATCAAAAAATTTGATTGAAGGAACCAGCTTTTCCCCCTGGGTAATGAGAACGAGGAGTTAATATGCTAATTTGAGTCTGAACTCAGCCCCTTTGCTCTCCTGATTTTGTATTAATTCTCCTGTTTATGCCTGCGCACATGTCAATCTGAAAATCTGTTAGCGGAATGGACAGCCAGCTGTCTGAAGTGCGGAGGCAGAACCACAGATTAGGTGTTCCCTCGGGGGTCCTGTTAGTCAGGACTCTGAATACACAGCTTATCTCTCATAAACTTGGTTCTCCCTAGAGAAACTTTAAAAGGGGCTTTGTTTTTGCCAAGAATTTCTTTTTGGATGTCAGCTTAATTAACAGTGATCCAAAGAAAGGGAAATGAGTTCTTTGTGGTCTGTGTAAATGCTGATTTCCAAACATTATTTTGTGGGTTTTTTTCTAAACTAGTTTCTCAGCAACACCTAAAATAACCATTATGTGTCAAGGGGAATAAAATTGTAGTGGCTGGATATTCTGAGGTGGGTTCCCCCTTTCCTGTTTCTAGGTTATATTTAAGAAGTTTTGATCAGCTACAAAAGTTTCCAGAGATTGAAAGCACAAAGGATATTAACTGTTCTTACAAAATATTGGAATTTCAATATTCCAAAATATTATTAAGAGTGTACTGTGTGACAGATACTGGCATTAACAGAATCTGCAAAGTTGTAATGTGCATGTCCCTTAAAAGATGTCATCTACTGAGCAGTCACATATAAACAGTGGCAACAGTATTACTTATTAATACTTAGTAAGAGATGGTGTAATGAATATCTTAAGTAAGTGAAGATAGGATAGCAATTTACAAAGAAAACACTTGAAGTCTGAAGAGCCTTTCATGGAGCAGGGCATGGAAAATGAGGACACTTGGTTTTGGGAATTCAAGATGGAAGACACAAACTAAAAAGAGAGAAAAGTTCTATATAGGGGATATTGATGTTCTGTGACACAACACAGAAACTCTGTTAAGACTGAATGTACAGTTTAGGGTAAATTCCTGACAGATGACATTGGACTGTAATCAAATGTCATGTCACTTGATCAATGAAACATTTATAAATATACAATAATTTCAACTTGTGACAGATTCCATACTTAGCAATGGGTGGGGCACTAAGATTCTTTTACCCACACATGCATTGTTGAAAAACAAATTTTCACAACCTCAGAGAAAATATTGTATTAAAGGTTCAATAATATCATGCCCACAGCAGACACGCTGCTCAGACATTCTGAAATGGACTTTTCCTTCTTGTCCTCACAGTCTTGCCTAGGTTAATTTCCTCAAGTTTTTTTTTTTTCACATCCTTCAATGTCACATCTACCAAGGGGCCTTCTCAAAATATGTTGATGAGATGAGGTCCCCATTATCCACACTGGCATGCCAGCCTGCTTATTTTCTCTGCAGCAATTACATTAAATGCAATTAACTACCTCTGCAATTATTTGTTTAGCATTCATCATCCACTAGTGTGTTGACATTCCATTGAAAGGAAAGGTATTTGTCTTGCCAAAGATGATCTTCAGATCTTGACAAATGTTCTCTGTACATTCATGTGTAAATACAAGGTAGGTAGGGGATAAAAGAAGATGTGTAAGGGAACAACAAAAGACTTAGGTTGAAACAGCTGAAAAAATGAATATAGTTAGAAAATAGAAGCGAGAATGATGTCTGGTTTTATTTCTCTATTACTAGCTTGCTGACTAATTAGCACTGTGAATAAATAATGAGGCAATGTTTGGATCCTCTTGTAATAAATAACTGTATTACAGCTCACTAAACTAAGTTTTGTTTCCTTTGGAAAGATGTGATATCATTCCAGTCTCATTCTGAATATGTTAAAAACATTTAATGTGGACTCTTTCTGTAATATATTAACAAATTAGTTTGTAGTCACTGTTCTATGTTTTAGGTTCAGGAGACTATAAACTCTCATTTTTGTCTTCATGTATTCCTGACATTCACCCAATCAAAACTGGACTTTGTTTACATATAACACGGGAACATATAATACATATTATATAGAGATTGATAGAGAGATCTCTTCCAATTTATTAAGTTAGAGAGATCTTTCAATTATTATGTTAAAAATTAGATTGAAAAACTTAGGGGCATTCTTATCTTTGCTGTCAGATCTGTTTTAGTACTGCTTATGCTTGACTGTGAAATAAAAGTAGGGATCAAAAGGCAAATGTGTAATTATTTTGACGTTTAATCTAAGTGTATAAATCTTTACATCTAAAAGGTGGTTTTAACAAATACTTAACAAGATAAACTGTCGTGCAATTATCTCATAACTTATTCCACTGACAAAATTAAAGGTATTATCTGCCTCTTTCCAGTTTCACCCAGAGAAAAGGAAAAGGGAAAAGAAAAAACAAAAGATGGAGAAAAATCTGAGAAGAAAGGTATGTAGTTATTTTTTTAACCACTTTAACATTAAAATTTTTTCCTTTCACATTTCTCTTCATTATGATTAGACTTTAGAGAATGTTGATTTCTTCTTCCAAAATTTGTATTATGTTTATTTTCATGGACTAGAACCCCCAAAGAGGAATTTCTGGACAAGAGAGAAAAAAGTACACTAGCCTCTTGTTACCATGTTAGTCTTAGAAAATATGTTAGCCTTCCTTAGGTAGTTGTGAGCTTGTTAGAGACTATTACTTGAGAAAATACTGGTCAGTTCTATAAGGAAAACCCATTCTCACTTTTTAATTCAATTGCCTATCATATTACCATGATTGTTATTGCTTATTTATTGAGAAGGTGAGGCAACGTCACTCTTTGAAGCATGAAGATGCACTAAAAATGTTCCCCACACTGCTCTAATGTCAAATTTCCCATTCTGTCTTACCCCAGGTGCTGACACAGCCACTTGTGTGAGGTTTTGTGATGTTCTCTAGAGCATCATTAACAATATGTACATAACATTTACATAATTAAAATATGGTTTATATATATTTATATAATGCCTTACTATCATATTAGTAATTTATATTATTGTTCCCCCATTTTATATAAAATCTGGAATGTCTTATATTCTACATTGCTAAATCAAAAATACAACCTAGAAAATTGTTTTTACAAAGCTTTGTCGTATTTGAAAAAGCCTATCTTATATCATATAACTTAGCTTATTGCTATGTGTAGTGTCAACCTTAATATGATTTCAGTGTTGTGGATTTCCTCCTGTGTGACTATTCATATCTATCCCCTGGTGTGTGTGTGTGTGTGTGTGTGCTTGCTTGCATGCATGCATACACATGCCTACATACATGCGTGTGTCTAGATTCATTTTTCTGCACTGTTTCTGCTTTGAAATTTTCACTAGGACCTCCATTTGAGATTAATTCTATAGTAATGGTTTCCTTAAGTTTTAAAAAGAAGTTCCCTGGTTTATGTTTTTCTTTGATCCATCCAACATGCTTCACTGTTTTATGTGAAGTAAGATTTTTTCTTTTATCATTTTTTATTTTAATTTTAAATAGCTTGTTTTACATGTCAATCCCAGTTCCCTCTTCCTCCCCTCCTCCCGCACTCCCCTTCCCCCTCAGCCTCTCACCCTATTGCCAATTCCTTCCACATAGGGGATATCTAGAGTCTGTCATTTGACTTTTGCTATTGTGTGGCTGACTTTTCTGGGAAACACCAGCTTAGATAGAAGAGATGTGATATTTATGAACCAGAGCAGAAGAAACATGTTTCAATATTAATTGTTATATATTCACACGTGAATATTAGAGTTAAAGAGTTGCTCTTTTATTAATATTTACTTAGTGGTAATTCCCTTGTATTTTAAAGCTCCTCTCTTCTCTGTCTCGGGCATATTTTCTCATTTCTTATCAGCTGGTGAGATATCAAATTCTGAACATAAGGCTCTATATCCTGACAAAATCAGATAATTTTGTTGTTCTTATTAATTTTCACAATTAGATATTGCTAAATGTGTTGTTTAATTAATTAAAATTGCCCTTAAATCATAAATATAGAAAATCAAGTCAAATTGAAAAAAACAGACATAAAAAGCCTTTTGCAGGTGTTTTTCTTTTTCCTGTATGCCAGTTAAAGATGTCTATGTTTTAGGATGTATTATATGGAAATGTTGGCATCTTTCATAAATGAGCTGTTTATTTGAAGCATAAGCTTCACATGCTATTGAACTCCCCAGGTTATAATAATCTCAACACTGAGACCTTAGGATTTTTAATACATACAGAACAAAGACATGTTAAATAAATTAATATCAATGAAGTAAGTTAATAAATAAGGGGAGGATATAGCTCAGGTATCCTGTAGAACATTGATAAATTAAAATCTCTATTATTTTAATCATCATTTAAATGATCTTATATAGTACTGTTAATTCTCAGAGAAAGGTGTTACCCATTAGGGAATCTCTGGAAATGTGTTGCTGCCAGAAAGGACATTGATGTACAGCAATAGGTAAACAGGCACTACAAATGCTCAGCGTCTTTGCAATGTTTAAAGCAGCCCCATACACTGGAGAACTGTTCTTTTCCAAATGTCAGTTGTGTGCCTGTTGAGAAACATTTTGGTTAACCAGTCTTCAGCCATGATAATATCTCTTGTTATTAATCTTAAAAAGAATTATTTTCACATTGTGTGTCTATTATATTTGTTATAAATTTTTTCTTTTTTCTTTTGGTTATTTTCCTGAAAGCTCTAATTATTTTGAGTAGAGACCTACAAAGGAAATATGGCATCTTTAGCTTTCAACTTACTATTAGTTTGTTTTCACCAGGGTCTCACCATTTAGCCCTGGTTGTTCTGCAATTTACTGTGTAGACCAGGCTAACCTCGAACTCATGGAGAACTGTCTATTTTTGCCTCCTAAGTACTCACTGAAAGCATTTGCCACCTCATCCAGGTACTTTCAAATTCATAAGGTCTAATTTTATAATGTATTCTATATAGTTATTACTCACTTGTTACTATATTTCTAAGATGGGACCCTCAGTGTCATAAATCTCCATGATTTGAGTGTCTATACCACTGTAGTCAGAAGAAAATTGACTTTGAAATCTATTAAAATATATGTACATAATTTGTAATTTACTAATGTTAATTTTCTGTTTAAGCAACTCAAAAGGAGAAAGTTGAGAAAAAAGAAAAAGCAGAGGCAAAGACAAAAGGTAAATTTTACCCTTATTATCTTCATTCTTGAAGTCTTTTTAAATTTTTAAAGTATTACTTTAATTTTTAAATAGCTTGCTTCACATGTCAACCCAGTTCTCTCTCCCTCCTCTCCTCCCGCACCCCCACCACGGTCCCCCAAGCCTCCCAACTTATCCCCACTTCCTTCCACATAGGGGATATCCAGAGTCTGTCGTTTTGCTCAGGGCAGGGTCCAGGCACTCCCCTAAGAGTCCAGGCTGAGAGATCATCCCTCTTTGTGTTATGGACACACGAAGTCCATTTGTATGCCAGGGATAAATACTGTTCAGGGTCCCATAGGTTGCCCAGGCCTCCTAACTGACTCTCACATTCAGGGGTTCTGGATCAGTCCCATGCTGGCCTCCCAGCTGTCAGTCTGGTGTCCAAGAGCTCCTCCTTGTTCAGATCAGCTGTGTCTGCTGGTTTTGCCTGCTCATTCTTTGCCAGTTTGCTCATTACTCCTCCCTCTCTGTCACTGGGTTCCACGGGTTCAGTTTGGTGTTTAATTGTGGGTGTTTGCCACTGCTTCCATCAGTCACAGAGTGAAGGTTCTAGAATGGCATGAAAGGTAGACGTCAAGCTCATTATCAGGAATGGGCATTTAAGGTAGTCTCTCCACTATTGCTTAGCTTGCCAGTTGGTGTCATCCTTTTAGATCTAGAGGTCTCACTGGTGACAGATCTCACTTCAAGCCTATGACTCTCTATATTATAGTACTTCTCATCCTGTTCTCCCCTTATTATATCCCCAATCATTCTTCCTGTTCCCCCATGACCTACTCTCTCCTCCTCTTCTCCCCCTCTCTGCTTCCCAGCTGCCACTACTCCCACCCCTCGCCGTGTTCCCAATCTGTTCAGAAGATCTTGCCTCATTCCTCTTCTCTGGGGTACCATGCATATCTCTCTTAGGTTCTTTCCTGTGTCCCAGACTCTCTGTCAGTGGCATTGCAGACTGGAACTATCCTGACTCATGTCTAAAATCCATATATGAGTACATACCATGTTTGTATTTTTGTGATTGGGTTACCTCACTCAAGATGTTTTCTTCTAGTGTCATCCATTTGCCTGCTAATTTCAACATTCCATTATTTTTTTCCACTGAGTAGTACTCCATTGTGTAAATGTACCACATTTTCTCTAGCCACTCTTCAGTTGAGGGGCATCTAGGTTGCTTCCAGGTTCTGGCTATTACAAATAATGCTGCTATGAACATAGTGGAACAGATGTCCTTGGTGTATGATTTTGCATCTTTTGGATATATGCCTAAGAGTGGAATTGCTGGGTTTTGTGGTAGATTGATTCCCATTTTCCTGAGGAATCTTCACACTGATTTCCAAAGTGGGTGTATGAGTTGGCACACCCACCAGCAGTGGAGGAGTGTTTCCCTCTCTCCACACCCTCTCCAGCATAAATTGTCATTGGTATTTTTGATTTTAGTCATTCTGACAGGAGTAAGATGGTATTTCAGAGTTGTTTTGATTTGCATTTCCCTGATGGCTAAGGATGTTGAGCACTTTCTTAAGTGTCTTTCACCATTTTAGACTCCCCTATTGAGAATTCTCTATTTAGTTCTGTACCCCACTTTTTAATTGGATCCTTTGGTGTTTTGGAGACTTGCTTCTTGAGTTCTTTGTAAATTTTCGAGATCAGCCCTCTGTCAGATGTGGGGTTAGTGAATATCTTTTCCCATTCTGTGGGCTGCTTTTTTGTCTTGTTGACTATGTCCTGTGCCTTACAAAAGCTTCTTAGTTTCAGGAGGTCTCATTTGTTAATTGTCGATCTCAGTGTCTGTGCTACTGTGTTATGTTGAGGAAGCAGTCTCCTGTACCAATTCATTGAAGAGTATCTCCCACTTTCTGTTCTAAGACTTTCAGTGTAGTTAGATTTATGTTGAGGTCTTTGATCCATTTGGGCTTAAGTTTTGCACAAGGCGATAGACATGGATCTATCTGCAGTCTTCTGCATGCCGATATCCAGTTATGCCAGCACCATTTGTTAAAGATGCTTTTTTTTCCATTGAATAATTTTAGCTTCTTTGTCAAAAATCAAGTGTTCATAGGTGTGTGGGTTAAAATTAGGACTTTAGATTCAGTTCCATTGGTCTACCTGCCCATAAGCTTGGATATGTTGTGTCTTCATTTTCATTGAATTCCAGAAAGTCTTTAATTTCTTTTTTTATTTCTTCCTTTACCCAGAGATGGTACGATTGTTCATTGTTCTGTTCCCATGAGTTTGTAGGGTTTCTGTGATTTGTGTTATTGTTGAATTCTAATTTTAATGCATGGTGGTCTGATAAGATATAGGGAGTTATTCCATTTTTTCGTATCTATTGAGGTTTGTTATGTTTCCTATTATGTGGTCGATTTTCGAGAAGGTTCCATATGGCGCCAAGAAGAAGGTATATCCCTTTGTGTTTGGGTGGAATGTTCTATAGATGTCTGTTAAACCTAGTTGGGTTATATCTTTTTTTAGTTCTTTTGTTTCTTTTTTAAGTTTCTGTCTGGAGGTCTGTCTAATGGTGCGAGTGGATTGTCAAAGTCTCCTACTACTAATGTGTGAGATTTTATGTGTGATTTGAGCTTTAGTAATGTTTCTTTCATGAATGTGGGTGCCTTTGTATTTGGGGCATAGATGTTCAAAATTGAGATGGACTTTTCCTTTGATGAACATGAAATGTCCTTCTTCATCTCTTTTGATTGATTTTAATTTGAAGTTTAATTTGCTAGATATTAGGATTGCTACACCAGCTTGGGTCCATTTGATTGGAAAGTCTTTTCCCAACCCTTTACTCTGAGGTAACATCTGTCTTTGGTGTTGATATGTGTTTCTTGTATGCAGCAGAAGGATGGGTTCTGTTTTTGTATCTATTCTGCTAGTCTATATCTTTTTATAGGCAAATTGAGACCATTGACATTGAAGGATATTAGTGACCATTGATTGATGATTCTTGTTTGTGCTTGATTTATTGGCAGTGGTGTTATTGTGTATAGGTTCTCTTCCCTTTTTCTGGAGGGTGGGATCTGGAAGGACTGTTGGATTTCCTGTGTGTCAGATCCGCTGGATGCCAGGAGCAGCCCCTTGAAGATTGAGGGAGTGGGTGATGGGCAGGGGGTTGTGTTCCAAGGGGTATCCAAGCTTACCTGAACCTGGGGACGCTGGAGGGTGGTGTCTGGAAGGATTAATGCCTTTCCTGTGTGGGCAGGTCCTCTGGATGCCGGGAGTGGGCCCCAGAAGAGTAAGGAAATGGGTGATGGCCGGCAGGGGGTTGGTCCCAGGGGGACCCCAGCTCACCTGAACCTGGGGACGCTAGAGGGTGAGGTCTGGAAGCCATTCTTGAAGTATTTTGATGATGAGAGCATACATTTTGGCTGAAATGTGAATGTTTGTAATCTTTTCCATTTCATTTAAACACACTGGCTTAAAACGGGATATCTAAGGAACAATAAAACCAAACGTACCAAAATATGAAAATAAAATGCCTACACATGTGATTGTCAGAATTTTGGTCTCTATGGCCTTTATCCCACACTGTCATCCCCAGGACACTTTTTCAGTAGTAGTCAAGTTGATCAAAAATTGGAACAATGTCCTCTGTGAAACCACCTGTGCAAAATAAACAGCTCCAATGTATTTAAAGTAGAGAAATTTCACAGAAAGCAAAGCAAGTTTTGAAGTGTGTGGCTTTAGCCTCCCTGGCTACACGAAAGTTATGGGGAGTGCAGGGGGACCATGAATAACAATACAAAGCAAATTCTGTATTCATTGTGAATACGCATGGAAGCCAGTTTTTCCTACAGAAACTCCAAAAAGAGCACAGTAGATTGGAGGCTTCATTTTGGTCTTGTGAACCCTCTGACAAAACAAGAATTTTCTCACAAAAAGCACTGTGATAATATGCTTCAAGTCCATAAAAACATCACAGGCGAAATCCACCGAATGAAGTTTCAATTCTGAACATCTATGCCCCAAATACAAAGGCATCGGCATTTGTAAAAGAAACGTTACTAGAACTTAAATCACATATAAAGCCCCACACACTTATAGTGGAAAACTTCAACACCCCACTCTCACCACTAGACAGGAATACCAGACAGAAACTCAACAAAGAAGCAAAGGGTCTAATAGAAGTTATAACCCAACTGAGATTAACACACATCTATAGAACATTCCATCCACATATAAAAGAATATACTTTCTTCTCACAACCACATGGAACCTTCTCAAAAATCGACCACATACTTGGAAACATATCAAACCTCAGCAGCTACAAAAAAAATTGGAATAACTCCATGCATCTTATCAGACCACCATACTTTAAAATTAGAATTCAATAACAACACAAATTGCAGAAACCCTACAAACTCATGGAAATTGAGTAATGCACAACTGCACCATTACTGGGTCAAAGAAGAAATAAAAAAAATAAATTAAAGACTTCCTAGAATTCAATGAGAATGAAGACACAACATACCCAGATCTATGGGACACTTTGAAAGCAGTGCTAGGGGGCAAGTTCATAGAACTAAGTACCCACATGAAGAAACTGGAGAATAGTTATACCAGGGAATTAACAGCACAGCTGAAAGCTCTAGAACACAAAGAAGCAAACTCCCCCAGGAGGAGTAGATGCCAGGAAATAATCAAACTGTAATCAGAGGGCTGTAATCAATATAGTAGAAACTAGGAAAACAATACAAAGAATCAATGCAACAAAGACTTGGTTCTTTGAGAAAATCAACAAGATAGACAAACCTTTGTCCAAACTTACAAAACAGCAGAGCATGAACATGCAAATTAACAAAATCAGAAATGAAAAGGCAGACATAACAACGGACTCTGAGGAAATTCAGAGTTATAGGTTTATTTAAATTGCTTATCTGTTCTTGATTTAATTTTGGCAAGTGATAGCTATCCAGGAAGTCATACATTTCCTTTAAATTTTTGTATTTTGTGGAGTACAGGTATGAAACCACCTGTGC